TGTCTTCTTTATCTTAAATCCTACCTAAAGCACTCTCCCTATTACTTGGATGTTTCCTCATTCACGGGAAACTTCTGCTTTGCATCTGTTATTCTCTCGCCGCAAAGAAAGGCAATTATTGGCTGTATCTACAATCCCCCAAATTCCGTAGCCAGTGATGATTCTCAAATCTGTGAAATCTTTAAATTAATGTCGGAAGCTGCTTTCTATGTTAAAATAATCACTGGGGATTTTAACCTTCCTGAAATTGACTGGGTTTCCAATAGCTGCCCACCCAGATTCCAGCCCTTTCAAGATATTGTAATTTTTGTAATTGGTCCCAACTGGTGCGCTCTCCAACAAGAGATAATCACATTTTAGATCTAATCTTTACCAATGACATTGCTACTCTTTCTGTTGCTTTAAAAAAGGACCTCTTTGACAGTGACCACGTATTAATTCATTGTTGCCTACCACTTGCCTTTTCAAAAAAGACAAGCGCCGTTCAGACTTTCATGAACTACGACTGCGTAGATAGCGATTTAATAAATAACTATATGAGAACCTTGGATTGGTGTGGCTTCCTCACTTGTAGCGATGTAACCATTCTTCGTGATGTCAGGTCCAATGTTTCCAAGGACATTCTAGAGTGTGTGCCGCGTAGATATCTCAAGCCTAATTCTTCAGATTCTCTTGTTCCTCATTTTCTTCAGAACAGACTAAAAAAGTTGAGGCGACAACTGCGTGACCTATCCACTAGTTCCTTATCAGTTCATCTTAGAATCACAGAGATTTTTGAGATGGCCTCAAGGATGCGCCAAATGCGCGACAGGCAAAGAGAATCAATTGCTCTCAGTGGTTCGAACCCTGGCAAATCCGTCGCTAGCATCTTCCGTCATCGGTCCTACTCTAAGCGTGGTCATGAACTTCCACCCATGCTAAATGATAACAAAGTATTCCTCCCCGATGACACTGACAAGGCGGAGTTGTTTAGTGCTTTCTTTGCAAATCACCCTGCTACCGAGTCCGATCCGGTCCCTTTCTTTCGATCACTTTCAGATAGGACACTTAGTACAATTGATGTCTCGTCAGATCTCATTAAGAATCACATAAGCCGTTTGAAATACTCCCACTGCTCAGGAACGGACGGGATTCCGAATTCGATTATTAAACAAGCGTCCGACTTTCCCATATTGCTCAGTCATTTATTCTCGGTTTATATTTCAAAAGGATTCTTTCCTGAAACATGGAAAACGTCAATTATCATTCCCGTTTTCAAGTCAGGATCTCGGTCCGATGTTAATAACTATCGGGGCGTGCACAAAACGCCGTCTCTAGCAAAACTTCTTGAAAGGATTATTTTCAATGAAATTCTTGACTTCTGTCTAGGTAATCGGCTTCTGAGCTCTAGTCAGCATGGGTTTTTACCTGAACGATCCTGCGAAACATGCCAATAGGCTTTTCATAATCTAATCACTTCTCGTCGTAATGAGCGGCAGTCAGTGGTTGTTATTTACTTTGATCTTAGCAAAGCCTTTGACAAGGTGCCCCATAGACGTCTTTTAGTAAAATTGGAAGCCCTCGACCTCCGGCCGCCTCTACTCGACTTCATTAGGTCCTATCTGTCCAACCGATAGCAAAAAGTCATGGTCGGTAATAGGTACTCGACACCTCAGTCGATCACCAGTGGCGTACTTCAAGGCACGGTCCTGGGTCCGCTACACTTCCTTCTGTACATCAATGATATTTCGACTGAACTCGAAAATTCGCAAACTTTTACTTATGCCGATGACCTCAAGTGTGTTTACTCATACTCTAAGGACACCGCAAATGTTTGTGTTGAAAAAATTGATGCCGATTTACTACGCTTAAGCAGATGGGGTTCGATATGGCAGATGGAGTTTTCATTATCCAAGTGTAGTTTCATGTCTTTTGGTCCTACCAAACTTCCTGGTCCCATAAT